GAATTAGCTATAGTTAATCAAAATAATTCCCACTCACCCTAAAAGGAAGGATGATAGTAGAAGAAATTAACAAAAGAAAGACACCATTAGACTAATGTATCGTAGGCCCTAATTTTGCAATGAAAATTACTTCCATATAAACAGGTTGTATTCATACTCATTTTCCAACTTTTGCTCTCTGTGAGAATGTAAATGTTTTAATTAAAAAAAAAACCACTTAAGTGACAAGTTTAGAAGGGAAGGACATCAATTTCTAAAATGACCAACAAAAGCTTTCACCCAGCTAGACATTATGCATCCAATAGCATGCATGGTAGAAAATCTATTACTAATTAGTTGACAACAACCTAAAGTTCCCGCCAAAATTAACAAAGGAAGATTCAGCACGAACTCATTGACTATAACACGTTGAGATTATATGGAAGATAACAGGGGGCATTTCTCGAGTTCTTTTCCAAGTTCCATCACACAAGAAAGCAAGGAAAACCCTTACACTGACCATGCACACACTCAGCAAGCGTGCAAGGGGAACATAAGGACGAGAAGAGGGGAGAAAGTCAGACGCAAAGCATGCATAGGCAACGACAAACACCACGTTTAGCTGACCAATATATCATAGCTTGGGGCTTTTACAGTAAGTTGTCACCAGACTTCCTGACCTAAAGTCTATATATGAACACCAGAAGTTTAAGATCACCTGCACTCTTATGCTTCTTAGTTAGTTGTTACCAGGCGCATCCCTTCAGAATTAGTAAGGAGCAAACTAAGGCCAAATTCATAATGAGTCAACCTATACTTTTGCAATAATCAATTGTTTATTTTATTGGTCAACTTTCCTTCACATCCCACTTCACCTGTGTAAGTTCATCCAATTTTTGAATAATTGGCCCCAAAGTACGAAGAAGATGGAAGTTTACTAGTACTAAACAAAAGCCTGCCGATGCAAACAGATATTTTAACAAGGGAGAAAATGTCGTCCACAACAGCATAGTAAAGTTAAGGCATCTACAAGCTACAACACCCAGACACAAAAGGTTGAACTGCAACCCACTAAGAATTAGTGTCTGAAGATTAAGTCTATATGCTTATGGCTTTTTGGCTATTAGGTGTACTCTTCAGGATGTCAGAGATGAAAATAGCTTGGTAGATTTAATTGACTCACTACAGAGATAGGAACTTTACAGAAAGGAATCCTTTCTTTTGTTTTTGTGTAGGAGGGTTCTGACTATGTAAATATACAAGCACCGTTGTAGAGCTAGATTTTTTTCTATCAATAAGAATCCATTACTTACCTGTTCAAAAACAAAAGGAAAAAAGAATTTGCCACCGACAAAAGTCAAATACCAAAGTACCAAACACATAAAGGATCATAATACTTTTTTTATAACCATGGTCTCGGCCAGCAGCCAGCTTGCGCGCACCTCGGCTAATTCCAACGGGTAAAGGGTCATAATACTTAATAGCACACTTTTTAGTACCTAAACCACACGATGGGCATTTTATGCCATAACTCATAAGCATGCCCATCAAATGAAAACTACAAATTCCCTATCGAAAGAATAAAATAAATGGATCACCAAAAATCCAAATAGGAAATAAAGAGGAAATAAAGAGAAATAAAAGTCAGCATTACATGGGTTTTACCTGCTATTTAGCCTTAACTCCATCATATGCACAAAGAGATCGATACAACGATGACGAGCTAACTCAGAAGCATAAATCCCAACCAACTCTTCATGTTGCTTATTAAAAAGAAACATAGTATACCTGCAATTGCAGTTCAGACTTCAGAAGCCAACAACACAACCCTATAAAATAACAGACACGGGATATTGGACGATAACATTTGAAGATATGAAAATAGTGGATTATTACTTTGATCAATCATGGGAATGAAGCAGAAAAACTTGATACCATAAAAAACGAAAATCGACAGATGAAGACATTAATTCTCCTTAGAAACTTGAGACGAAATGCAAATCCCAATNAAAAACCGATTGGTCCTCTGTTGACAAGAACTGAGAATTTGACAGCGGAAATACAAAATTTTATCCATCTCAGCCATCTATCACCAAAGCCCATTTTCTTAAGAATAGGGCAATAGATCTCATTTTGATCAAGTAATCTATACTATATTAAAAGCACGATGCCCCTTAGCGAAATATCGTTCGCCTTTTTTACCCCTTTAAAATAGAGTTTACACTGAACAAAATAGTCATTTGATTATCTTCCTAATATATAGGAATAACATTTAATTATTTTCCTTATATTTAAGAATAGTCATTTAATTATTCTCCTAATATTTAAAACTTTAATTTTTCTAACTCCTTATTATGATTTAGTTATAAGAAAATTGAAATGAAAAAACTATGCATAACTTACGTCTCTAATTTGTAATAAAAAAATATCCTCCTTTATTTAGGAGTTAATAGTTTTTTGGCGAATAACTATTTTCTAAATATATGATTTAGGTAAGAGCTCCTAATATTAGGAAATTTAAATTATAAATCTCTTGCTCAATATATAAAATGTTAAAATTAACTAAGATTTTAAGGACAATTTTATAAAGGTATGTAATTGTAGATTTTGTGTTTGCAAAGGTGAAGAAGTGTTTGATTAAAGGGTAATGGACACACCTCTCTATGCCGAGACAATCAAGCATATTTTTTTAGTAAAAATTCTTTCTCTGTTATCCTTTTTATTATTACTAAAATAATTTAATCTTGTAGAGTTAATTGATTTAATTTCATGACAAGATATAAATCTATAATAATCTAAGTAGGAAACTATAACTAATTCGTTGACACGCCTTTGATTTTATTATTGTTAGTTAAATATTTTATAGCCGATCATAAATTTAAAACCACTTAACTCAATACAATTAAATTAAATTATCTTAGTAAAAGGAGAAATAAAATAAAATAACAATTTGTGAAAATTGTGTTTGATTCTCTAGGTATCCAATAGTATGTCAATTACCCTTTAATTAAATATATCTTCTATAAAATTTATGTACCGAAATATAAAAACACATTCTAATAAATACTAATTATCATTCACTATTATGATATTCTTTAACTCAATACCAAATGTTAGAAATACTTTCAAAATGATATTTAACAATTGCATTTTAGATATACATAATTAAATGATGTTATTATAATTTTTCAAAGTTTAATACTTTTTGATATATGGGGAACACGCGCAAAGCGCGTGGCATAAAACTAGTAAATTTAAAGAATTTGGAAGAAAAAACACATATTTACAACTGTATAGGCATACAACTTTACATTCATAATTTCTCTGTCAATTTTTCTTTTTTTGAAATTTATTTCAGAGTGAATAAAAAATTGAAAAACAAAGCAATATTGTTATTTGAAGAATTAAATTAATATTGAAAAGAAAAAGTCAAGGGCAGGCGCAATTAGAATACCGGATAACCGGTGAATATGCCTCCCCAAGGTGTTAGGGTCTAGTTTCCCTTGACCAAGCCTCCCAATTTTAACGTTTTTAGCCACCCATGGACTATGTGCCAGTTTCTTAGGGGCGTATAGATCTATCCCCTTTTCATGCATATATCTAGAATAGATGCAGCTACCATAATTAGAGAATATTTTTTTGGTAAGGTAAATAACTTTATTAACAGTTGATGAAATCGCGTATAACAAAAAGAGAACCTACACCAAAATATGGTTCTCCATAAAAGACCAATTCCTCTATAGAAATAGGGACCTCCTAAGTAAAAAGAAACTAAAAGACTACTTTGAAATTTTACAAAATCTTATTCCACCCCTTCAAATGCTCTCCTATCTCTCTCTTTCCAAATAACTCACATGATTGCAAAGGGAGCAACAGCCCATGCCCTTAGACTTCTCTCCCCCCCTCCTGTGAGGCCAACTTTGTAATGCCTCCTTCACTGTACACGACATCACCAATTGCATCCCAAACAAATTAAGGACCACCCTCCACAATCGATTAGCCACTTGATAATGCAATAGAGGATGACATTTTCGCTCGACATCACAAATTATAATTAGAGAATATATCAAAGAAATTGAATGATCCAACGTTCATATTGAAGGTCCTTTTTCCCAATCTCAATGTCCCCTTCTAGGAGAAGCTTTAACATATGACAGATATGACCAGAATCTGTATAATATGCAAGACTAGCAAAGATTCTAGGAGAGAAACAATCAACATGCAGCAATATTTTCAATCCAAAGGCTACCATGCATTTAGTATCATGCAGATTAAAGAACGGAAAGTACTGCATTACGGAATGGACAAATAACAGGAATGTTATACCTCCCAATCCGTACATGTTGGAAGAATGCGTTTCAGGTTACTGCACTGGGTTGCATATACTGCTGCTTCATATTTTCCGCCATCTTGATCTGCAATTTTCTTCAATGTAGAGAAGAAAACAAGTTTCATCAGATCAAATGCAACACAACCACACCAGCACATCCATAGACGGAGAACATGCGCTCTCTAACATAATCATGACGCAAAAGGCATAACAGAGACTCTTGCATAATAAATATATTATTTTTGGACGAGAAGAAAGCTAGATACTGAACAGGAAAACTTCATTACTTTAACCCTATTTCCTACCTCTGAAGCACAATAGCAAGCCCATTTCCAGAGACGCCATTGATGACCGATTCCACTTTCCAGCTCAATGGCTTGTAAGGTTCTGTTCTTACCATTTCTTACCAGGGCTTCAATGGATGGGAACTGATCAAACCCTCCAAATGGAGATAGTGTTGCAGCTCTCCATGACTGTCAAGTCAATGTTTTTATCAGAATAAAGGATACGGTGTCAAACTTCCCTAAAAGATTGGCATACCTGTCCAGCAGACCGGCAGAGGCTGCATGCTTCATCCATTCTCCCTGCCCTTAACAGAGTCCAGACATCCTCCAGAAGAGATTCATCTTGTTTCTATGGGTACAAGATGTTTTTCAATGCAAAAAGAGCATCACATGCCATCAGTTAATGAGATATCTAGGCACCATGAGAAACCCACCAATATGAACTCCTTCTAATGTTGGCTACAAAGATCATGGTTTTTCCATTTCATGTTCTCCACCCTCCCCCCACGTCCCCATTCTACGTAATTAACCAATAAAGAAAACAGGGAAACCAGAGACACTTAATAAACTATGCACAAATCGAAAAGGACTACCAAGAATGAACTAAATGAAGATAAGCATAATGCAGTTGAAAGAAGACATGAGATACCCAAGAGAAAGAAGCTGAAGCATAGTGGTTTCTGCAATATGTAAATGTATGCCTACAGTGATATGATTAAAGGAAGAGAGCCGGTCTTGTAATAATCCTGACATCTAGAGATAGCTTTTCTGTCAATAACGAAAAATTTAACAAATTTTCACCATCCGAAAAATCATCCAGGAGGAGATAGACATGGAGACACATACGCAAATAATTAAGTCAATTTCTTTGCAAGAGCATACTTTGTCATCAGGCAATTGCTGAGCATGTTCACGCGTAGGAGCATCAAAGTCCAAGTGATTAATTGTCTTTGGATTTGAAACACCTTTCTTCAGGAACCGTTGAGTGTGATGCCAAATTCCGGAGCTAGGGAGATAGGTGCCAACATGAGAGCCACGCACCTGCAAAGGTAAATAATCATAATTAGAAACAATCACCATTACAAGATTTCATGAAAAGGGAAGAGTAAAAATATGTTAACTGTGCAATTAGACATGGTATTGAAGTTATGAGCAGTCTTCCCATTAAAATTTTGGTGTTTATGCTAGATAATTAAACAAACAAATAAACCATCAAACTCATCTGTAGCACACACTATGATTCCAGCAGTGCAAACAGGTGAAAAAAGTAACCTCCCTTAGTTCCAAAAGAGAATGTAGCAAGAGAAAGAAAAAAAGAGATTTTGAAACTTTTGTAGCAATTACAGATAACCCAAAAGACGAATCTAATTAGAAAATCCGATGTACAATCAAGGATCTTATCCCAAAAGAATCTAGGAACAAAAGCCTCTTTATCCGGACTGTCATATACTTTTTCCTCCTTTTTTATTTCATGCATCCCTTAGACTGTCTTACGATACCTTTCTGAAATGCTCTCCTGACCCAATGAACAAATCAAAAAATCAGTAAACTCAACTAGGAAAATTTGAACTAAGTGCTTGGCATTCCCTTGCCTCAAGCTAAATCATTTCAAAAATATATAGAAGTGGATGGTTATGTACGTCTACCATCTAGGAAAAAGATATTGTGCAAAACAGTACAGCTTAACAACATTGGTTTTCCACCTAGAAAATTTTAATTTCTCCATGTTATACTTTAAAACCAGACTTCTCTACACGTGCAATGTCCATCCAAGAAGCATGGATTGCCCTACATAGAGGTCAAAAGAAGCTAAACCCTCATATCATTTCCACACAATCATCCTTATTCCCTGAGTAACTTTGCCCAAAATCACAAGATCTTAGGCAATTCTCCAGACAATGTACAGCAAACTCAGCTTGCTGAAGCTTAGTTAATAACTGAATCTTGTTAACCAGCGTTTGCCTCAATTTAAAATTTCAGAAAGGTAAGCTATTTCCATGATTTAAACAATTTAACACTTTCTTTTATAAGGCCAAACAAGTCGTGACTGATACAACCATGTTTCCTCTTGTTATCATACAGTAGATCAGCCTGTCTCCAGCTCTATTCCCATACACCGACTGGAGAAGCTTTTCTAGTGTTTGACATTGTTTTTACCCAGGCATAATTCTGCAAAGAAATTGGAACAGGAGATCCAGGAGGAGGAGAAAGAAGAGGATATCTGGGAAACTTCCCAGTTAAGCAGCATAATTTTTGTTTTAATTACCTTTTGAGATGATGATCAACCCCTGCTATGCTGGCTAATGCATACGTTCAGGGAAGAAAATGGAAACCAAAGACCAACAAAATTTAAACTTGAAAACTGGCCATGTCAATTCAATTTCGGAAACTGCAACATAGAGCACAAAAATTTCCTTCCAGCTAATTGGTTGTCTCTCCAACCAAGCCATACTTCACTTGTTAATGTTGAATGCAATGCCTACACTATGTGAAAAACTGAAAATTATACTTTTCTTTGTCCGCAAGCATAAATAACAACAGTTGGTCAGTCACATACTACTCTTGGCAGAACTACAGTTCGTGGAATCGCGAGGGAAGAAAAGAACCTACTATAGAAGAATAGGAATTCCAACAGATAACCCAATGATTAAAGGCGCTCTAAGGCCAGGTGCAACTCAGCTTGGTGATTCGCCTTACCTAGCTGGCGGTATGATACTGACACCAAACCTCGGAGGAGTGCGCCTCACCGCCTAAAGTCTACCTTAAAGAGGGTGGTAACAACAAAAACAAACCTAGTGTATTCCCATAGATGGGGTCTGGGGAGGGTAGAGTGTACGCAGACCTTACCCCTATCTTATAAAAATAGAGAGGTTGTCTCCGATTGACCCTCGGCTCAAGGAACAGTGGAGATAAAGCAACAAGTAGCAAACAATAGTAACAAAAATATATTAAGTTAACGGGCACAAATGACACAGCATATAATAGTAAAGAACCATGAATAAGATAATACAAAAATAATCGTAGTACTAGTGTTGATCCTAAAAGACACACACTACTATCTGCCAAACTACAACCCTAATCCTCGACCTTCACACCTTTCTATCGTGGGTTATATCCTCGGTAAGCTGGAGCAATAACATGTTCTGCCTAATACCTCTCCCCAATACTTCTTAGGCATGCCCCTACCCTTCCTCAGATCCGCAAAGGACAACCTCTCACACCTCCTGGCAGAGCATGATGCTCCTCTTCACATGCCCGAACCATCTCAGTATCGACTCCCGCAAATTGTCCTCCATCATGCCACTCCTACCTTGTCCCTAATAACCTAACGAGGGTGGTACACATAATAAATATAAACTATATACAAATAGTTAAGGAACGTCATAAATGAAAATGTAAAATGAATGGTCATATAAAATAAGATTCTTTTTTTTTATCAGGTAATTTAGAATTTCATTCAATCAGCATCCGAAGGATGCATTTAAGTATATAAAAAGTTATATAGCTCCTGCACGTTGCATCCACCCCTATCTATGAACTTAAGGAGCTGATATAAGATATTCAAATGCTTCGTGCACCGGGCAGCCCCTTTATGTTTCACTAAATCCAGATGAATGGACACAACTTTTATAAAGTCGATTTCAAATAATTGGAGAATGACGTATAGTTGACTAATTGCATTTTTTCCAATTCTTTTGCCTATATAATTGTTATTTGTGTTTTCTAAATACCCATTTTTTCTTTGTGTTACACATTACTTTCATTGTTTCTTCATGTGTGTGTTCCTTCATTAAACCTTGTGCTTTAGTTGCACTTAGCAGTTGTACTTGCCCAACAGATCTTGGTCCTTTTCACACTTTTTACCCTTTTTAACACCAAAAGAACCACAATGATGCTGATAAAAGCACAATCAGTGTGTACAAATAGAGAAAAATCAATGCAGCCTCCCTACTGTAATCATGAAGACAATACCAACCATCTTCCTTAGTCGATGTACCTTAGTACAGTTATGTTTACTCCCCACATATTCCTTGGTCAGCGCGACAAACCTTAGACCATTTACCTTTACTCCCACACATAAGCTTCTTTAATGGTTTCCTCAGTGAAGTCTTCTCACCATAATTCAACCATAATGCAGGTTTACAAACAAAGAGACCTCGGATTGACTCAATTAAAGCTTTACTAAAAAATATTCACCAGATTAGGTACATATTTGAACAAGTACAAGACCTAACAGACTCAGCTTGGACAAGCAGAAGGACCGAGGACAAAGAAGTATAATTTTGTTGACTAGTTTTACTACGAGCAGGAGGCGTATTGTGCGTGTACCTCCATATCAATGAGTATTAATTTTTTAAATACACACAATAATATTAAACTATGTGATTGAATTAATAAAACAAAATATTAAAAAAGAATATTGAATTATTGACTATATTTAGCCAACTTTAAAGGAAAGAACTTGTTCATACTCTGATGCCTTATGACTTTGATATATTTTGGTGCATTTATTATAGAAGCATAGACATAGTAGAATAACTAAAATATTAAGCTTGGTATTCACTAAAACTAATTGGCCTATAATCTTTGAGTTCAATAGCAACCTTTCTTTTTGGGAAAATTGAGCAATGAAAGAGGCACTTGCATGACCTCTCCATTTGAGAGTTTTGATGAAAAAAATTCAAAGCAACCATCATGTCATTCTTAATAATTAGTCATGCCTTCTGTAAAAAGGCCATAGTGAACCATCATGCCGCGGAGCCTTCTCGGGAGCACATGCTTTGAGATGGTGGAGAATACCTCTTGTTCTTCAGATAAGCTTTCCAACCAGGTTCTCTGTTACCTTCAGAAAATACTTGCTAAATTATACAAACCTAGTTGTTAGGTCTCCATTATTCAGACTTCAATATATAATTTTTGATTAATAATCCAGAATTTCCCTTTTGATCAGCTCTTATCTTCAATGATCTCAGATTTCACCTTCAGCCCTATCTATGCAATTGTTGTTCTTTTATGAGAAACTAGCAATTCTTGGAAATACTTGGTATTTCTATCCCCTTCTTTCAACCATATAGCATCTGGACTTTTGTCTCACGTGACACCTCTCTGCTTTTGCTATCTGATCTTGAGTCAAAAACTCAAAAGCCAAGCATTCGTTTTTTCACCAAAGACTGAACTCTTGCCCTTATGTATTCTGCTTCAAAGACCATAAGTTCCTTCCAGAATCTTGCTTCTTCTTAAACTCTATCTTGCCATAAACTTCTTTTTTCCAGACATGTTTATAATTTTCTTCAGCATTACTTAACTTGAGTAATAATCCGGCCTCCCATGTTATGTTATAAGTTCGCCACCACTCTGCAATATTTTCCAGTAAAATCTTCTACATTGCAACCACATATATTTGAATTTTGAAGTAGGAAGAATTCACCTTCCCAGTCCCATTTCCAGAACAAATGGCTTATGATACCGAGAAACTTCTAGGGAGTGCAACCTGATTCACAGCTTCTGAGCATCAGTTTCCATTCAGTGAGAAAGTGAGGAATCTATCTATTCCGGGGATTGCTGTGATAGAAATTTCTCGCCCTGGACCAAGTTGGTAGGCCCCTTGCAAAGGTTAGATCAATGATATCATCTAAGGTGGAATAATCTCACGAAATCCTCATTGCTCTAAGGGAGCCTCCAAACACAAATTTGTGCCTTCAACTCTCTCATATCATGACATAACCGTTAATATCATCGCTATCACCAGCAGATTTTACTCAGGACATGCTCACACTGTGTGCCCAAATTCATAGGACCGACATTCGTCCACTCCTTTCTCGCGCTGTTGTTGTGAGGGCAACGTATGACCCTAAGAAGCTACACATCTCTCATCACCATGACAGGACCGTCCAAAGAATGCAATGAAAGTAGGAGTTCCATCCCCCAAATTATAGAACTCTCATAAGGAATCAATTCTATTATCTGCACCAACTAAGTGCCCGGCCTTCCTGAATTGCCAAAAGGCTGTATAAGCTCTTACCCGACACTGCCGGATATTC